TGCCTGCCTTCATCGCTCCGACTTGTCTTGGTGTTGGTTTCTTCGCTTTCGTCGCCGTTGCGAGCTCGATCCGCACTCTTGAGTGAATACCGCAAGTGTGCTCGTTGCTCGCCTCTCAGCCACCTGAGCTCAAAGATGGAGATCGTGAAGGTTCAAGACTTGATCCTCACAAGACTGGAGAAGAATGTAGAGAGCGATCAGGCTTGTCAGAACGTTTTCCTGTACAATCATGGTTTCCCCGACGCATCAGTAACACCAGATGCCTTGATGTTGTTCAAACAAGGCGTTCCTACAGCAGATCATAGCTTCTAGGAGGTCATAGTGCGGAGGAGGTTCTAGGGACGTGGAGGTAGTAGGGAGGAGGAGGTAGTAGGGAGGAGGAGGAGGGGGTTGAGTTTGCTTTATGCAGTCGACCCCTGGATGCCCTTGCAATGTTATCGCCATCTCATACCGTCGGAACTCTTGTTGACAAGGTGATGAGTCATGATGATGGTTATATTGATATATTATGATGATTATGATGATGATGATGACGACGACGACGACGATGGAGATGATGATGATGATGAGGAGGAGGAGGAGGAAGAAAAAGGAGAGGAACTGATTGCTATCTTTTTGTTCAGCTTCTATTTGCTGTGTTGAGGTTGCAAGCCACTCTAGCGAGCGAGGAGGAGATATACACGAGGCCCGACATTTCAATCTATGATGTGAGCCCAGTTGTTAAAGTGTGAGGACAATGATGTTAGTTTGTTTGCCAGCGATTGTCAAGAGATGTATTCTTTGGTGCTGGTTTCTCCGAGGAGTTCATTGACAAGTGATCTACTGTTTGATTGTTGAAAACAAAGGTGAAGAATTTTCTTCAGATTCTTCCGTCCTTTCCTCGGAGGAATCTTTTTTGACACGAAGCTGAAGACCAGCGCTCGGTAAGCGGGAGGAGGTGGTGGTGATGATGTTTGAGATGGTGATTGGGCTTGCAGGGAGTTTGAATTTGTCATCCGCATGCTTTCAATAGGAGAAAATTGTCTACCAGAGGTGAAAGAGGAGCAGGAGGACGAGGATATAGGAGCGAGGATGAGCGAGGATGAGCGAGGAGGAGGAGTTGCGAGGAGAGGAGGAGGAGGAGGAGAGGGATTGACGATCATGGCAGGAGGGGATGCAGAAAATTCCAAACTATTTGAAGTCTCTGCTGCCTGCAGACTCTGTTCGACTCAACACTCAGGTTGGTGGGAGGAAGGGCAAAGCAAGAGAAGTAGAGATGAAGTGGATATTGTGATGGACAAGTACAAGGCGGTGAACATTCGAGTATGTGAGGGGGAGTTGAGAAATGGATGGAAGAGGAGGAGGAGGAAGATCAGGAGGAGCAGGAAGATCAGGAGGAGGAGGAAGATCAGGAGGAGGAGGACGAGGAGAAACAGGTGGAGCAGAACAAACAGGTGGAGCAGCAACAGTAGTAGTAGTAGCACAGTAGTAGTAGAAGTAGTAGCACCGTAGTAGTAGTAGTAGTAGTAGTAGTAGCACAGTAGTAGTAGTAGCACAGTAGTAGCACAGTAGTAGTAGTAGCACAGTAGTAGTTGTAGTAGTAGTAGCACAGTAGTAGTAGCAGTAGCACAGTGGTCGTCGTCGTAGTAGTAGTAGTAGTGGTACTAGGACGGCAAGGAGAGACGATGACTTATGATGTCTCAGGTGAAGTCAATCAAGGAAGACGGCAAGGGTGTTACCCTCAGCTCGGGAGAGTTTGTTGCTGTGAGCTGAGAAAGAGAAGGGGAGGGAGGAAATAACGTGGCGATCAGGCGTCGTGTGTTGTTGTTGCAACGTGCGGAAAGATGGCAAGTCAGCTTGTTCCTGACGTCGGTAAGAAGAGGAGGAGATAGGAGGAGATAGGAGGAGATAGGAGGAGATAGGAGGAGATAGGAGGAGATAGAAGGAGAACGCAACAGTGTTCAGAAGATGAAGATGTAGATGGTTGAGATGGTGGTTACGATGATGATACTTGTATACTAGCAAGTTGTCTGAATCTTTTTCATCTCATTTCTGATTTCTCTTGTTTTCTCCCTTTCAGTGTCGGAGATGCAGGAGCCCAAGAAAACAACTTGTCTCTACTTCGCGATTGACGGCAAACCGCCTGCTGACGTTCCGGTAGGAGGAGGAGGATGGAGGGACGGAGGGATGGAGGGATGGAGGGATGGAGGGATGGAGGGATGGAGGGGAGGGGAGGAAGAGAATCGGGGATGGAAAGCAGAAGAGGGCGAGGAGACGTTTGAACGAGAAAAACAGACAGTCTTCCTCAACGGCGATGGCGTCAAGGACGCCCAAGGCACCTCCACTATCAACAACGTCTGCTTCCCGAGCATGGTCGCTTCTTCGTATGCGCCAGAGGGAAAGGTGAGGAAAGGAAGAACCTGACACAAGCACATGTCATGCGAACCCACGTTGAATGTTTCTTGCCTTGCGTTGCATTGATGGGGAGTTGTCTGACAGTTTGATGTTTCCTGCCCCCCTACCGTTGTCGTTCGCCTCCTCCTCCTCGCTCTTTCTCTCGGCTCTACTCTGCTCTTGCTCTCTCTTCCTTCCTTTGCTCTCTCTTCCTCTCTCTTCTCTCCTCCTCTCATCTTCTTTGCAGTCTCTTGCATGCGTTTCTCTCGTCGGCATTCCCGATCAGCAAGAAGATCAACTTGTAGCAGACGTATGAACCCGAATATCTCCTCGTCCTCCTCGTCCTCCTCGTCCTCCTCGTCCTCCTCGTCCTCCTCGTCCTCCTCGTCCTGCTCTCGCCCTCCTCGTCCTCCTCGTCCTCCTCTCTCTTCCTCCTCCTCTCTTACCCCTCTCTCCTCTCCTCATCAACTCTTCTTGCCCTACCGATGGCACATCACAGAAGCTTCTCTCGTCTCTTCTCCTCTCACTTCTGCGATGTCGCCCTGACTTTCCATCCTCAGGTCAAGAAGCAGCTCGTCAGCTGGTTCGGTCCTTCTGCCAACGAGGTTCATCCTGCTCCACCTGCTCCTCCTCCTCGTTCGCCTTCTTCTCCTTCATCTTCCTCCTCCTCTTCTCCGCTACCTCCATCATTCCCTTCTTTGCTTCTTAATTTTTATCCTCCTCCTCCTCCTCCTCCTCCTCCTCCCTTGTCCCCATCCTCCTCATCAGTTCTTGCTTTAATTTGTCATTGCAGTGGAAGCCGTTGCGAACGTATCGTATTCCCTTCAGTCAGGTTTCTCCTCTAATTTCATCCCTCCCGTCGCTCCCCCCTCCCCTTCCCCTCCTCCTTATCGCTCTCCTTTCTTCTTCTCGTTTTCTCTTTTCTCTCTTCCTCCTCCTCCTCCTCCTCCTGGCCTCTCCTCGCCGCCTTTTTCTTTCCCCTCTCTTCCTCTTCTTCATTCTCATCTCTCTGCAGCCGTCACAGGAACCTCCGTTCGAACGCGAGCAGGTACCTCCTCCTCTTCATCCTCTTCCTTTTCAACTTCATTCCCTCTCTTCTTCTCTCTCCTTCCTCCTCTTCTCTCTGCTCCGCCTCCTTCCTCTCTTTTCCTGCCTTCTCCTTCTCTGTCATCCTTTCTCTTTCCACTCTCCCATTCTCCTTGCCCTTCATCGCTCCTCCTCCTCCTCCTCGCCTCCTCCTCTCCTCTCCTCTCCTCTCCTCTCCTCTCCCTCCTCCTTGCTTCCTCTCCACTCCTCTTCCTTGCTTCCTCTCTCTTCTCTTCTCCTCCTTGCCTTGAGGCTGAGAGAGAGCGCCGGCAGAGCGTCAGGAGGAAGGAGCATCTTTTCCTCGCCGGGGATCACGTTGAAACCGCTTCCATCAACGGCGCGTTGAGAGCAGGAGCGAGATGTGCCAGGGCCGTGAGCGACTTCCTCCTGCCTTCCCTGGTCCAGCTCAACAAGGTCACATGATATCCCACTACTCCTCCCTCCCTTCTCCCTCCTCCCTTCTCCCTTCTGCCCCCTCCTCCTCCTCCTCCTCCTCCTCCCCTTCCTTTCCTTCCGCTCCCCGTCCTTCCTCTCTTCCCTGTAGTAAGGCCCTAGCAGCAGCTGCAACTTGTCGTTTACCTCCCCCCACTCCCTTCCTCTGGTCCTGTCCTGTTTTCTTTCCTCTTGTCCTCTACCTACTTGTCTCGTCCTTTCGCTGCACCCCCTTCCCGCCGCCTCCTCCTCCTCACACTCATGGCAGGAGGAAGTAAGGAAGTATGCTAGGGAGAAGGGCATCAATCTCTCAGACTGATCTGATGCAAACAAAGGAGGAGCAGGAGGA